GGTTTGTTTACAAAAAGATGGTATGCCCTTTTCACATGTGGCTCTTGAACTCTCAATTCACAATCCCTCCATGTGCAAAATGTGATATATACCATCTGTGCCAGGAGATTTGTAGGGAGCAAAGCTGTTGAGCGCCATTTAATAGAAGGTTACAATGCTGCGCTTGGGCCTATGTATTACAACTGGCATTTGGTTCATCAAATGATGTCAAATTCAGTCTAAGAATAAATTTAAAACTAAATTTGGTGTTGTGATGTCACTAATAATGATTACAAAGGTTGCTATCGATTGGGTTGTTTTAACGGAATATCAAAGGAGCTTCCTGTAATATCACATTGTAAACTAATTTGGCTATCAGTGAGAGCAAACAGAAAACTCAATTTGATGTTAATTTTTCCTGTTAGTAACAAAACAAGTATTCAATTTTATATTCTACTAAGGTAATGAAAACAATACTGTAACAACAAATTTTTGAAGGGCAAATGTAGACAAAAATGAAAACAAAATTTGTTTTCAAATTTGTCAATCGCGTAGACTAAAATCAAAGTATGATTTCAGTATGATGTTGATATGAAAATTTAATTTAGATTTGCTTTGGGAAGTGTGCTTCAAACAAATGTTCCAGCATTTATTCATCAGTAGATGTGTAGTCGTCATTTAATTTTGGAATTTCGTTCGCTTATAAATCTGTTGATTTAGCAAGAATCTTGTATAATCGACTAGCCTCACTCAAAATGGACACATTTGTGCAAAAACTTTTCCAGCTGGATTGCTCAGCAGATCGGAGTGCCTTTTTTTATACCTTGTGAGCTGACCAATCCCAATCCTCTAAGCGACGTCAATTTCAAAACTTTCTACACTATACTGTTTCATGAGGTTAACTAGATCATAGTTTCACCAGAGCGTTCTTCTAGTAGTTTTAACAGACCACAGCTGTCAAACTTCTTCGTATGCTTTCATTGTGCAAGACGTTACCCATGAACTTTAGATGCTAGTAGTTCAAAATAGAGACCCCAGATTGTTGATCGAGGATTTCTAATGCTAAGGTTTGTGAAGAAACATTCAAGTGTTCAAACGTTAATGATCAGATAAAGATTCTTCATCTGATACATGCCAGTTAGCTAGCTAGACTGACTTTTGGTAGAGTTTATCGTAAGCATATCAAAGCTCACTTCTAAAAGCAGGCTCATTCTGCCCGAAAAACATGTTTTTCAGAAATATGAAATCTTCAGATGTTATGATGATATTTTGTATTTGTAAGTGGCAATATGACGTTGCAAATTATGTGTTTAATAACATATAAAGGTTGAATAAGAATATATCTGGACACAATCCGGACACAAATGCTGCTTTTACGGCATTTTTTTTCAAATTTCACTGAATCAACCTAAGAGTGTATAGAGTCACAGTAAGGGGTGTGGATGTCAGGATAAGTTCATTTGTTTACATCATGGCTTCACCGGAGCAACCACGTCGTGGTTCGATCCTGCACGCTCGAAATGAAAATCCCGCTCCTGGCAGTTTTATCTAATTCCTGGGCCCGAAAGGATGTAAAATCAAAAATAAGTCGAAATTCCTCCTTGCAAGCAGTCTGTAGTTGTGGGCTGAAATGCGAAACTTTCGTTACTTCTGGAATCATGAACCAGCAAGTTTACCAAGAGGAGTGCCTACGGAAGAGACTACTGCCTTTTCTGGAGCAGCATGAGGTGGATTGCCTATTCTGGTCGAACTTGGCAAGCTGCCACTGATCAAATTCCACCAAACAGTGATACAGCGAAAATGGCGTCACAGTGGTTCCCAAGGAGACGAGGAATGAATGTTCTCGGGAGGAATTAATTTTATCAAGCCTGCCTAAAGGACACGCACGCAGCTCTACAGTAAATTTAGGTCAACTATGAAACCAAGGAACATATGTGATGATTTACAGCTGCTCAAAGCCAAAAACTTCCTGTTCCTAAAACGGCCCTGAAGATAAGATCGTTACAAACATTCATTCAACTTTGTGGAATTTCAAAACTAAACGCTTTACACGGTCAATCAACTTTTATAAGCTCTTTCTGCCAACTTTCTCGCATGGTTTACGTCACACACAGCCGACATCCAAAAATTGGCGAAGATATACTGTCGTCGACTTTTATCTGATTAAATACCAGCCGCCACCGCCACCGTATTTCTCGACGAAAGCCCCACATGTCTTCATTAATCATCGTTGCTATCCCCGATGATCATCGCTAAAATTAGGTAAACATGACGAAAACATGACGAACCCGTTTAAAACGTATCGCCATATTAAGTGTTCGGCACCAACAAAAAAACTCTCACTTTCGCGCCACTCGATGTCACGCCCGTCGCGTCTCGCTCTCGAATCTGTGTCGGTTCTGTTTCATTAACCTGAATGGGAGAGTTCTTGATCCACCACCGTGCCATCCACGTGCATTTAGGTACACGCATCAAACAGTTCAGCTACAAATCTGCAGCAGTAGCCAAACAAACCCTGCCCTTCCACCCCCTGGTTCTCATACTGCAATGGCTGCAAATAAGCGATACGCAACAAACTAGCCGATCACCTCCATTCCCACCCACCCCCACAGAAGTCATCTCCAATATGCAAATAATAGCAAACATCCGTTCCGATGCTTATGGCTATATTTAGTTAGCACTTTTTTCCCCTCTCGGCCGATGTATTATAGATGATTTAACAGCAGCAGAACAATTGTTCGATCCAATTGTGTTAATAGCTCCTCTAGCACCCGGTGTGGATGGCAGGCAGCAGATATTATTGCATAATATGTACTATAGCGTACTCTGCGAGGGTACCAAGAAAGTATACACAAGTCTTACACGCGAACGATTGTCCATCAGGTCCGGATCCGGCAGCAAGTGCAAGTGAAGTATTACGAAATGTACGTTCCTGATAGTATTTCCCAGGGCGAGAAGAATATGCACATTCTTACACGCGACCTCTGGGGGTGCCCCGCGCGTCACTGTCTAACGGCTATCCATGTCACCGGGACACCAGCAGTACCAGACATGAAGGTAGGGGTAGACGGGGCAAGATCGCCACCCGGAGCGAGATGAGCACTAGGGTACTTGAGTTTGTAAAAAAAAGTGATGAATTTCTGATAGGCCATCCTCTAGTTCGATTCATAGTCTCAAAATATGAGCCTGTGCAAAAAATGGTTAAGATTGATTAAGGTTTAGAGGTCGCGTAAATGATTTGAAATTTGTATGGGAATTACTATGGAAAAAATTCTTGCATCACTTATATCGTTCTAAATTTGCTTCTACAAGCCCAAATGTTGGAAAAATTTAATATGTTGTTCCTATGGCATTGAATAAAAAGTCTTTTATTTTAACGATCAGTTTTACAGCATATCAAGAAAGATAGAAATGCGGAAAAATTACGAAATAGGGTAAATTAACAGATGAATATGTGCAAGGCCAAGCGCCAATTTCATCACAACAGCAACATGCTTGTTAATCATTGTCATGACAACCACATACTATTGTTTTTACAATGTTTGGACGACTTCAACCAAAGTTAGAGTAATGTGAGTGAAAATCAATCATTTCCCAATTCACCGATTATTGATGAAAATTTCAAATCATTTGCGTAATCTCTAAACCTTCATCAATCATTACCATTTTTTTTCACCGGCTCATATTTTGAGACTGTGAATCGGACTGGCCTATCAGAAATGCATCACTTTTTTCAAAATGAAACACCCTTAAAGTTTACATAGAAAATCTTAAATTTTTTAGAAACTGCACAGTCGTACCTTTCAACAATGATACTAAGATGCAATGTTCCTGTAAGAAATTGATGAAAATTTTCCTCTCTTTGTAATAAGGGCTATTTATAAACTACGAAGACCTATTTTTAGAGGTTTTATATCCCCCTCCCTTGCCGTCACCGGTGCACAGTGGTGTCAAGGGTATCAAAACACGCGCTTTTTTATTTACGCTGAAATGATTGAGTAAAGGTACTAGGTGTCTTCTAAGAAGTTTCTCGGGTTACAACACTCCTTCTTATGGTAAAAAAAATTAAAGATTAATCCACTTAAAAGTGAGAGGCAAATTATTTTTTTTAATATGATGAGATACAAAATAATTGTGCTGGGCAAAGCTGTAGAAAACGTTACTGTGAACAACTTTGCTCAATACTATAACTTTCTAGCTCTTATAGCTGCTGACATATAAAGGTTTTTTTTTGTGGAGACATCGTTAAAATCAGTTTTGTATTTGACACGAGTGGCACGAAAATTTTAAAAATCTCAAGAATTATAAAATGTTGGTCTTTAAATGGAAAAATTATCAAGATTTCAATATTGGATAATAAATTGAAAAGCTACGAAACATAGAAACATAAATTGGATTATAAATTTTGATATAAATGTTCCATCTTTAAACTTAAATCCTGACCATAATTAAATTCTCGGGATCCCGAACCACAAAAATTCAATTTTTTATCTTCTTTTAGAAGCAAATAAATCAAATTAAATATTAGAACATGCACGTAAGTGGTACAAGTCTTAGACCTTTGTTATTGGGGAGGGCAAAGCTCTAGGATACGTTTGGTAAACGTTGCTGGCAGATTTTATAATAGCAATGGGGATAGAACAAAGGCATAGTGAATAATTGCAAGGAGGATGAACCTAGGATTGAACTCGCGACCTTCTGCTCCGTTAGCAGAAACGGTTACCACTAAGCAACTGAACCCGTCATAAAATATTAGAAGCTTTTCCACTTCACAAATCCTGAAATAATTTACGCAACATTCGAGGAAATTTAAATTAATTATCAGTCAAACCTATTTCTACGCGCAAAAGTCGCAGTTTTATGAGATTATCGTTCAAAAATAAACGTTTACAGCTTTTATTCAAACAAAGAAAAATCATATAATATTCATTATCATGCTATCAACCCAACAACAAATTTAAAATCCTGAAAAAAATAGATGCTATAAAATTTTAACATTTAAACTCCTCTCTACATTCCAGATTGCTTCGAGCGGATAGCATTAGGTGCCATGCTGCCATTTGAGAAAACGTTTCGAAACTCCGACACCAATTCGTTGAAAATCTGCGAAACCCTCTGCCTCAACGACAAGGAATGCCAAACATTCTCTTTTGGGTATGAATGAATCTCCTTGTCTATCTTTCCTAATATTAACATTGGATCGACATTCTTCCTCTAATGTAGCATTTCTGGACGAGGAAATGGAACCTGTCAGCTATCAGCCAATATAATCGATGCAACCAACTCTCGACCAGTCGGTACCATTTTCGATCCGGACTTTGATCTCTATGCACGAAAGTACAACTGTTTTTTAGAGACGGGTGGGCCTTCGAATCCTCCGCCGCGGCCCGGAGGTAAGTTTCAGTGTTTTTGTCTGTATTAGATCCGCTGGTTAATCAAAAACTTCTCTTTTAGGCCTGGGTAGTTTCCCAGCGAATGAACTACCACCCGGTGGAACGCAACGGCCTTCATCTTCGTTTCCTCCGTCTGGGTCGCCCGTTCGACCCGGGTCACCAGTCTTCACCCCTGCCGGTACTACCGCTACGGGTGATCCAATTTCTACCACCAACGGTGGAGGATTCCCGGATGCACGACCAACCAGTGAATATCCCGGTACATTCTCAACCAGCATCGGCACAACCTACGGCGGACAATCTACCGGTGAAACGGTTCAAGAAACAACCGCTCCAGATGAAGAGTACTACACAACAAACGAGCAACCTTCGTCGACCTTAACTGGCCATTACTCTCCACCTACCAGTACTGCTTCGGGGCATCAAATTACCACCGGCGGAGATCGGGCGCCACCGAACCAACCACCGTCAACCATGCCGGCTGAATCACCCACAAAGTACCCACTAGATCTCAGACCTCAAAGCTACCCGGGAACTAGTCCTGCCCGACCGGTCAACTACCCCAACTACCAATATCCAATGCTCTACGAAACGAATTACCCGATGCCCAACAATAACGAACGACTACCGGATGTCTACGCACAGAACATTCCGTCACTCGATAACAACTACCTTCGACCGGAATACGCGGGATACTTTGGCCATCGGCCATCAGGTCCATCTGCCCCGACGGGAAACATGAAACCAGTAGATAACACCATCTCCAACTACGGAGGCACTGGACCTCAACGACCGGTAGAAAATAAACCCTCCGGCTACGGAGGAGGCCCTCTTCGACCATCCGGTTCAGGATCCGGACCCAGCTCTTCGGGACACTTTGTCACACGCCCACCCCCAGTAGGACCATCCGGATCAGATGGTTACAAAGTAACGGAGGAGCATGACCTACATCCGACCAAGTTCCGACGTGAGTACTTATTTCGTAATCAAAACCCATCCCGTATGAGTGACCACACGGGCAATACTAATGATGTGCGTTTATAATCGAATTTATACGCGTCGCGGCAGCAGCGTGTGGCCTATTGCATCACTGCTCCATTGCGGTTGTTCCAGTGGGTAATTAAATTCTTTCTATTGAAACCATGCGGTGAAAACTACGATCACTACACGCACCCTACCCTACCGAGAATGACAATAATAGTGCGAGGTACACCTCACACACGACTCAACGGTCAATGATTCTTCTGCTGACTGCACAACATCGATGCACACACATCGAGATTCTATAGAGTGCAGTGTGGAGGGAGCATTCTTTGTTTAGCGGTTGGCAGAGCTGTCAATTTCAATGTCAGATGGTTGAATGGGGTTTAGCGTTGCCATCAAGTGGCTGTTCGATTTTCGAAAACACCGTTCTGGCTGTTGACCAGGTCATTGGCGCTGCGTCATGATCCCGTCGTCAACGGTTGCGACGATGGTGAAGCTTACTGCTACAAACGAGGTGTTAATTTGCACTAAGCAGGTGCTGGATTTGTTTATGATGCAGCACAATTTTAGCAAATTTATAGGATACAATTATAAAGGCACTAGAAGATGGGGTGGGGTTGACGAGTTCGGTTTTGACGTAGGACTACGTCTTTGATTTCTATATGGGGGTACACTTTGTGAAAACCGAAAATGGAACATGTAACAAATTTAGAAAGATTTTGAACGTTAATAACTCACCGGCCCCTGGTTCAATTTCAATAATTTTATCACCAATCGATCAGAGATATGGCCACGCATCGATAAAAATGCTTTCGAATGTTGATTTTCAACAAATAACTATTGAAACACTGGTAAATGTCCAGCATTGTCCAAAAGCGTCGAATTAACTAACAAATCCACCAATTACCTAAATGCATATGCTGCTTCCCCGACACAGTCGTCATAGAGTAGTAAGTAGACGAAACAAGTCGAAGTGGCATTCGCCTCCGATCCTCGGGCGCGTGCGAATAGGGAGGATGGAATTGCGTAATATTTTGCACACTCATCGCCATATTCAGAACCAAACGCAAATTCTTCGAGATAACCACCATCCGTCGTCTGACTCGCCGTGGCGGTGTCTGACGTATCTCCGGTCTGATTTACGAGAGTGCTGAAGGTGTTCCTGAAAAATGGGATCCGTGATGCTGTCACCTACACTAAACATGCCAAGCGTAAGCTGCCATGGATGTCATCTACGTTTTGAAGACGCACAGAGACGCACTCTGTTTGGTTTCGGAGGTTAAATCATCACCAACTTTGGCAACAAAAGGGCTCTTCTCAGGGCCACCAAGCTTATTACAGTAAAGAGTAGGAATAGAATTCATCTGCCTGTTTGTCCATATTCAGAACCAACGATCACACAAAATGCTCATGTAATCAAACTGGAAGCAGGGGTACAAATTATTTTGATCAACCTTGATCAACTTTGAATCGCCACGGCCGGATATTTTCGATGGAAGAAGCAACAATCAAGCTTCTAATTCGACGAAGACGGCAGGAAACATTTTTGAAGCCAAATTATTAACGAAAGAGTGAGAGTCGATGAAGAGAATCGATCAATGTAGATAGAACTTATTGAAAAGTGACGCGAGATTTGTTTTCCGTGCTGAGCACCAATGCTACCGACGCCAGGGAGGCAGCTCCCACACCTGGACCCTACCAATCAACCCATCAACTCAACCGGGGACCAACGGCTTTACTTCCCGAAGGAAGGCGTGATCAGAGATGTTTTGCCTTAGAACATGCCGGTGGCACCGACTGAGATTGGACCCAGGCCTGCTGGGGTGAGAGGTAATCACGCTAACCACCGGCGCCGATATCTTTCAATGTGATATCAGATTGACCCAAATTTGAGTTTAGGTATCACAGAAATAAGAAATAAAGTGCAGGAACTCAGCGATGAGTAAATTTGCCTCATTTTTTTTTTTTATATTAAAATTTGCCTCATGTTTTCCCAGGTTTTTCCAGGATTTTCCAGGGAAAAATTCCCGAATTTCAGAAAAGTAAAGATTGGATTCACTCAGTCTATTGGTACTACTTCGAGACTGAATAAAATTTTCGTCGATTTCCCCATTTTCTGGCAGATTTTTTAGGTTTTCCAAAGGAAACCATGAGACAAATGTACTCATCGCTGAGTTCCTGCACTTTTGGCGATTTTGAGTTAACTAAACTCAAATTTGGGTCGTTCTCATGTGCCGTGTACGCAAAAGGAAAAGAGTCAGTGTCGCTACTTGATAGCAAACTACTCATAATGGGAGGAGTCTTTGTAGCTTTTATACCACTTGGTTGCACATCATTCTGCTTTAACATGAAAAGATATAAAAGAGCGCTGCTATAAAGCATTAGCTCATGGGGCCAAACATATTGTGCTTGATCGTCAAGCAGTATAGTTCGGTCTTTGCTCGCTTTGTCGAGTTGTTCGATAAATCTATAGTTTGTTACAAACGTTTGCAGATATACTGCACGTCGCGTCGTCAGTAGTGTCGGTCGCATCGCGTGATGGGAAGACAGCGCTCTCGGAGCCGACTTCGTGAACAAGCGGAGAAGAAGAACTGTGGTGAGGGTAGCTCGGTACCTACCTCAAATAGGTACGCTACTCTGCCCACCGATTTGGAAATACCAACCCAGTCCCTGTGAAGCGGACGAAAAAGAGGAAGAAGAACCAAGGTCAGTCCGATGGTACGAGCGGACGCGACGATGTTACCGCGACGAACGCCAGCGACATCGGTGATTTCGGCGACGCCGTCGAAACCGAGAATTCTGCCGGCCCGAGTGCGGCGAAAATCAAGCTTCCTCCACTTATGGTGAAGGTAGTGCCACTCAAGACGCTCATTGACGATTTCGCATCGCTGGGCATCGCAGCTGAGTACAAGATCAGCAGGATCGGCACTAAGGTGATGCTCCGGACGAAAGCGGAATACGAAATCGCAGTCAAATTCCTGAAGGATTCCAATGCGGAATACTTCACGCACGACATCCCCGGTGAAAAGCCCTTCAAGGTAGTCATCAGGGGTCTACCGGATGTTGATCCCAAGGCGATCGAAAAAGAACTCAAGGACCGGTACAAGCTGGCCCCAATCGCTGTCTTTCGGATGACGAGGCGAGACGAAAACGTGAAGACGTACCCGGATTGTCTTTTCCTGGTGCACTTCCAGAAGGGAACGGTGACGCTGAATGCGCTGCAGGCTATCCGCTCAATCTACTCCATAATCGTACGATGGGAGCCATACCGTGGAGGTCATCGCGATGTGACCCAATGCCAACGATGTCTAAACTTTGGACACGGCACTCGCAACTGCAACATCAAGCCACGCTGTAGCAACTGCGCTCAAGAACACGCCACTTCCAACTGCCCTGCGGATGGAGCCGTGGCGTTAAAATGCGCCAACTGTGGTGGTGCTCATCAAGGTTCCGACAGACAGTGCTCCAAACGCGAGGACTTCAAACGCATCCGAAAACAGGCGGCAACTAACAACCAACCAGGACGCAAGAAGGACAAAGTCCCGGCATTTCGGACGGAGGATTTCCCGCCCCTTCGTGCTCCTCAGCAAAGGCAAGTGAATTCACGGGTGCATTCCGCTCAAGCAACTTCCGGTGATTCTGCTGGCCAAAGCTCTCCATCCCCCCCTGGATTCTGGAGACAACCAACAGCGCAAAACAACAACCCCGATCTGTTCTCAGCGGATGAACTGATGGAAATCTTCGTCAACATGTCCGGTGCTCTTCGTAAGGCCGCAATAAGCCCGAACAGATCCAAGTGCTCGGTAAGTTCATCATCCAGTATGGCGTCTAAACCGCTAAGTATCGTCACCTGGAATGCTTGCTCTGTAAGAGCAAAAGAGATTGAGCTTGCCGACTTCCTCCGCAAGCACAGCATCGACGTGGGCCTTCTAACCGAGACCCATCTAAAGTCCGGTGACAGCTTCTGGTTGCCTGACCACAACATTATCCGGCTTGATCGCACCAGCTCCAGGGGGGGTGGTGTTGCGGTCGTCGTCAAGAAAGGAATAAAATACCACACTCTGTCCCATATCCGCACCACTATCATCGAGGCCCTTGGTGTGGAGGTGGAGTCGTCGACTGGATACGTCCAGTTCATCGCCGTCTACTGCCCTCGACAGTGTGCCGCCAGCAGTGGACTAGCGGCTAAATTCAAGAAGGACCTGTCCACCATCACCCGTACCGGTTCCCGCTTCGTAGTTGGAGGAGATCTGAATGCTCGCCATGAGGCCTGGCGGAACTACCAGCAGAACCAGAACGGTCGTCTCCTGTTCGACCACTCACAGCATGGGCTGTACTCCGTTTGGTTTTCGGATGAGCCAACATTTATCTCACCGGCGGGCAACCCATCGACACTAGACCTGTTCCTGACAAATATCGGCTTGTCCAAGCCGGTAGCCTTGAACGAACTCAGTTCCGACCACCAACCGGTGGTGTCTGAGCTGGGCTGCAACGTGGCTCCTGCTTCAAGCCTGCGCAAGGACTATCATCGCGTAAACTGGGCCCAGTTTGGACGCGTGGTAGACAGGCACATCATCGACAACCCGCCGCTTGACACCGTGGAGGACATCGACCGAGCGTTGGAGGGACTCCACCAAGCCATAACCGTGGCTGACGAGGCGTGCGTCCGACGAGTTCCTGTGAGGGGTAAGTTTATTGCTATTGATTCCCACACCCAACTCTTAATTCGCCTGAGAAATGTTCGTAGACGCCAGTTTCAGAGGACTGGAGATCAAGCGATGAAACGTGAAATGGCCGATCTGAACAAGGAGATTGCTTCCAGAATGGTCTCACTCCGGAACGAAAGCTTCGGGCGGCTTGTCCAGAATCTGGACGACCGCTCCAGACCATTCTGGAAAGTTGCCAAGGTCTTAAAGACGCACCCTAAACCCATTCCGCCACTAAAAGATGAAAATGATGACGATCGGCTCATAATCACCCCTC